GAAAGCTGCACACTGCGCAACCCGGGCATTTTGCTGGTAGCTCCTAGAAGCACTCAGGCCTGATCCTGCGTCTTGCGATGGCGAGCAGCTCCAGAGTTACAAGGATATAAATAAGCGAGAGGCAGGCCCTGTGAGAGGGCACCAAACAAACAGGGATGGACAACCAGCCTGAAAAACTGACTCTGAGGCAGCACGGGGAGAATCCTTCAAGTTAAAGCTGTGGAAGGACAGCGTAACGCACCCAGAGAGAAGGGTTGATTTCTGCAGCCCTCCCAGCAGCAGGCACAGAGCAATGGTGAGGGATCGGCCTTACACACATCCCGGGTTGCTGCTCACGCCAGAGAGCTCCCATAGGATTGAGCAGAGTTTTTGCTTTCTGCCCACCCACACAGCCCTGGTTTCTCTCTGCTGGCTCACCCCACAAAATGCGGACAGCTGGGCACCTACCCTGGGCTGCCCCCAGCAGCAAAAAAAGACAGAAAAGAAACTGCCTTCACAACAGCAATAGCACAGAGCATAGAGGTTCCTAACAATTCGCGGCTGCCAGCCTGGAGCTGGGATCTGTGGCAGAGCCTCTGGGGGGACGAGGCTGCAAGCAGCAGCAGCAGCTCTGCCCCGCACTGCAGTGGGACCCCAACAGCCTCCCAGATACAGGAGCAGGAGGAGGAAACTGGGAAACAAACCCTGCAGATAAAATTACGTCTGATATGGGTGTCTATAAAGCTAGCAGTAAATTAGTAACTAAAAAGATATTTTTCTAATTGTATTATGTGGAGGAAATACATTTGACAGAGTGGGACGATATTAACATGGAAGCGTGGAAAATACTAATGAGAAAAAATAAAGTATCTTGATATATGATGAAGTGAGACCACATGTTGCTTCTGCAGTCCTTGCAAATATAATCTGCTAGAGGTAAGAGGTGCTGCACCTACAGTGGAGACATGGCTCTTGGGACATGCAAATCTGCAGAAGCATGAGCTGATTTTAATAGTAAGACACAATATGAATTTCATGCATTATAAAATTACTTAGTAATTTCACAAATAACATCAGGAACACCTCTGTTACATTTGCTAGTTATAATTGTTTCACTTCAGTTTAACTACAAATATTCCCCAAAACTGAGAGCTTCCCTGCGCTGTGTCCCAGCAGAAAGAGACACGCTGTGAACCCAGCACTGCCACAAAGGGGACACAGCAGTGAGCGTCGGGGACACAGCAGTGAGCGTCGGGGACACGCCGAACCCTCGCAGCACCGCCACCAGCAAGGACCAGGCTGGGTCACATCGGGAGGTGCTCTCCTATCCATACCCGAAAGCTACTGCTGGGAAGGTGCCTGCACCAACAGACATCAGGACTTGTGACTATTTCAGAAATTCCTCATTTCTGAGCATTAAATTGTAAGGTGGGTTGAAGCTTCTAGCCCAAACTGGGGAACCAAAGGAGCACAGCTGATGGGGTCACAGCAGGGACATCACAAAGACTCCAGAAAACCCAGCATCCAAATCCACTCAACCAAGACAGGGGAAGCTCAGCACCCTTGTTGGACCTAATCAAAAAAATAATCAAATAATCTGCTTTGGATTCCCATTCACCGTGGCACAGCACAACACGGTGTCCAAGAGAGGACTGCAGAACTCGACTCGTGCTTCTTAGGTTTTCAAACCCTAAAGCAAAATTACCCAGTCTATGTTGCCACTGAAGTGGAGGGAGCATTAGGAATGACCGAGCAGAACACAAATCCTACTTTCTTTTTCCCCCTCCTCTCTCCTTTCCTCTTCTCTTCCTGCTGCTATGCTTACTTAACCTCCAGGTACCCGCTTAAATAACTCAACTAAATAGCAATAATGAACGGGCAGAGTCAACACTGTGGTACATAATCACCTTGTCTGTTGTGTTTAACATCAGTGATCCCTTCTTTGCGTGCATGACATTCTTCTGCCTTCGTCTGCGTTAAGGATTTGCTTTTCACTCTGTTTGCATTTGACTACTAATATTGCACCCATGCACACTGTGGTTTCTCACCGTAAGTGCGGGTCCTTCTGCATATCCTATTCCTCCAGGAATTTCTAGGAAATTTGAGGAAGCAAAAGGAACAGCCGAGCTCCTTTCTCACCGCCGACTCCTATTCCTATTTCCCGATTTACTCGCAAACGAGCGCGCAAAGCACCAACTGTCCACCTCCATGAACAGCCGCCGGCGAGCATTATAGATCCTCTACCATCTTTCAGACGGCACTGATCTAAAACACCAATTCTACAATTAGTTGCAAAAAGGAAACAGGAACTGTTGAAGTTTCACATCTTTATAGCGACCAGAAGTATATTTACAGGAAGGGTCTGCAATGTTACCGTTGTGAAAATATTTAAGATTGGAAAAGATACTCTTGTCACAAAACTATCCAAACGTTTCTAGTAATTAAAGTTGGGGCTTCGCCACAGCAAGACAGCGTTAGGAGCCCACATCACCCAAACACCACCACAACTTTGTCAAATAGGGATCACATTAATGAGAGATAAAGTGAAAGTTAGAGCGGATAAACTTAGACCACAGCAGGGCTAAAAATAAGCCTGCAAATACACATCGGAGTTGCACAACAAAACATCAGCGAAGGAAATGAAAATTATAGACGTTGTTTTTCTTTTTTATTTACTCCTGTATCTTTGACTTCAGTGCAGCTCATCTTTCAAAACAGGTCCTCTCCTCCCGAAGATCTTAAATATTTCCCCACAAAACTCAGCTTACGTTTGTAAACCGTTTCTCCATGAAGTGCCCTTTCTGTCCGAAATCCCAATGAGTAACGACTGCCTGAGCACAAACCCATCTCAGAATCAGGCCCTGAAAAACTGATGTCTAACTATGAAACTCCCTTTCTTCTATGTACATAAAGCCGCATAAAAAGTTAAATCAAACACAATTCACCACTTGCCAGCACATACAAATGAGTGTGCTGAGCACAAACCGTTCATTCCTAGCCTACAAGTGCATCCAGCAATGCGGAAAACTTTTCAGTGAGAGTTCATTAAAAAAAAAAAAAAAAGATAAAGTAAAAGGGAGGGGAACAATATAAAACCCAAGGCTACCGTTCTGATTGAGGCCGCTTTTTCACGAGTAAAAGATGGCAGAACAAAGCAGTAAAAGAGTTGATGGAAAAGGTGGAAAAAGATGCACGCAGATTTTGTCGTCAGCTCTTCCTGACTAAATCCAGACTGACGCTGGTACGGCTGAGGGCTGAACAGCCGTGCAGCGCCAGGCGGGCAGTGCTGCTCTGAGCGGGGTGAGAAAGTCCTGAAGGACTGAGATCATGGCCATGACACTCCTCGGTGTGCCACAGCCCTGATTTTTAAGAGCCAGAGAATGAGAGAAATCAGCAGCGTGCGTCTGAACCCACTCGCTTTCAAATCCCCCCTCTGTTTCTCAGTGCAAACTCTATCTTTTATTGAAATAAAGGAGAAAGCTCATTAGAACGAGGCTCTTTTCAAAAAACACAGAACCCAAACGATCCGCAGTGACGTATGCACACATACACACACAGAGAAAATAAAATCCTGGCCCCACCGAATTCAATAGGAGTTCTGCAATTGACTTCAGATGGGGCAGCACAGATTAGCTCCTACCCGCTATATGGCCACGCGGAAAGCGCTGTGAATTCAGCGCATTGCATCTATTTGGCTCCCAGTGCTTAACCCCTCATTACCCGAGTGCTCCCTGCTCACCCAGGCAGGATTTCTGCTCACCCGCCACGGACAGCAGCACAGCGCTGGGTCCCCAGGAGAGGACATTCAGCCCTCGCTGTGTCTCAGCGCGCAATTCAGTGGCATCTCATTATTTTTCCCCCCGCCTTTGATACGCAGCCCGCTTATTGACGTATTCGCACAAATTAAATAAATTTATCTCTCCTAATATGTTCATTTTTAATGGTTTTCAAACATTCACATGGAAACAGCTCTAGCGTAAATATCCCAGAACAAATGGCTGTATATTATACAGGAGGGAGCAGTTGGGCTGCCAGACTGGGAATGCACCAGGCCATCTGGCTCAGGCAGTCTCTCCAAAATCCTCAGCTTTGTTTTCACCCTCAGACTCCAAACAACACATTTTCCACTGTGATGAGTTTACATTTTCCCAAACACAGGTCCTGATCATGCATGCAAATTCCAAACTTCTCCGCTCCTCGTCGTACGAGAAAATTAAAATCACCTGCACTTCTGACATCTCACCAAAGGAACAAGAAAGCTGCTAAAATCTGGCGCAGTGTAAACTTTCCCCATCACAGGGGTTAGGTTTTGTTTTATGTTTGTGTGAAATTTCTCCGAGTCTGCGGAGGCTCCTCCGAACTTATTGATAACATTTTTTTTCCCATGCACATCGCTGCCAGCAAAGGGCTGTGCCGTGTGCTGCGTGCAGAGCACAGCTCCTCAACCCCCTGCACACAGCAGAGAGCATCACAGGCATCGACACAGAACCCGCTCGTATCCAGAGTTGCAGCTCTGAGAAAAGGCGAAGCGCAACCAGAGCTCAAGTCAGAAGGGTTTTCCACCCAAAAACAGACAGCAGCTATCTTGCAAAACTTATGCTTTCTGAGATGCCTGAGCTGTAGTACCCTCCAATATATCTTATGAATGAGGACGGCTGAAGGAAAAATGCTTGGGTAAGAAGTATTCCAGATTTATTTCCTCCATCCTTCCTCATCGTGAAATATCTCAACTTTATGAAAACGTGGCTGACAAAGCCTCTCCTCTCTAAATACATTAAAATCCCCAGACTTGCCTAAAAACTCCAGCTTTATTTCAGCAGACATATTTCACATTTTGCAGGCAATTTCAAAACACAGCATCGTAGTGCCAGACCGACTGCACCGGGAGCTGCTGCCCTACGCAAAGCAACAGCCATAAAGTTTGGGATCCTATGGGGTTTTGAGCGCATTAGGAATGTGATCCTGACATAAAATGAGGTGCCAAGATAACATGCAAGAAAATGTAATTAAGACAGCATTGACACTGAAGAGAACTTCCCCACAACGCTAACGATTTGTGTGCAGTGTTTGCAATTCTAACATGACGGGGATGCAGCCAGACCCCTCACCATCCCACTCTGCGCTCCTCCAGAGCCACCACCAAAGGCCACTCACAGCACAGTGTTCAGCACATTCTGAGCTTCCCGTTCCAAAGTCCCCTGAGGACCACCACAAGAGCTCGTGCTTGGAGGGAGCGCGCACAGCTGAGATCTGCACCCTGCGCCTGCCCTGCGTGCTGTGTGTGCTTCCTTTGGCCGCACCACCAGCACCCAGCACTGCCCCACAGCACATCGCCGCCCACAGACACGGAACACAGGACACACAGACAGCCCCTGTCAGCCCACAGCACAGATCCTGGGCTAGGCCCTCAGCTGGACCGTATAGACAGCAACAAAGCCTTACTAGCCCTGATTAAGAACTCTGTGGAAGCAGGAATACCTACAATTACACACAGCAAGCAGTGCAGCCCTGCCTGGCTTTGTGGTGTATGCTGCTAATGGGACATTTAGGTTAAATCTAGAAGCAACAACCCGATGCAGAGAAATCAAGGTCTGATTTGCAAAATGGATTTTATTTTATCTTACTTAATAACCCACAGCTGTGTAAAACCTCGCAATTCATAATCGTGAGACAAAGAGGACAGACCTAAATCTGCTTTGGCCATATCTTAAAACATATCTATTTCATATCAAGATCCTTCCCCACACGACCTGGGGAACTGAACTCATTCAAGCTTTGCTTCTGCGGGATTTTTAATTGGCCACCAGAAACCTCAGAGTCGCTGTAATTTCGGTCTGGGAATTCACAATTATTGAGTGTGTGAACGCGTGTGAGCAGGGGAGGCTCTGTGCCAGCGGAAACGTGAATGCTCCTGCAACAGTTTCATTTAAAAGTAATCATTTCATTATCCAATTTGTTCTGAGCGTCATGCATTAAAATACTACACCTTCAAGTAGGCTGACAATATATATTTAACTTTCATTAAAAATTAAAGAATTTTCAGACAGTCTTTGCAATATTTAATTACAGTTTGATGATTTGAAAGTTACTTGAGAATGTTCTATATAATTCACTGTCGTAAAATATAAATGATACATTCAACATTTGGGTGAGCTCTGTCATGTGTTGTACTTCACTGCCTAATAAGCATTCAGCAACTGAAGCAATCACAACTCTGACATGATTTCACTTAGGAAGGAAGGAAGAAAGGAAGGAAAAGGAAAAGAAAGGAAGAAAGGGGGGGGGAAAGGAAAAAAGAAGAAAAAAGAAAAAGAATAAAATAAAAGAAAAAAAGAAGTGGGGGGGATTTGAGACCCTGCCCCTGAAAACATGCAGATGAGCCCTGCCACAGCTTTGACGTGCAATGCCTTATTTCTCATAAGTAATTACAATCACACCTAGAGAACTTAATGAAACTAATACCCAAGCAAACGTGGTTGTTTAAACCATCCCTTCTCTCTCTGCTTTCTTATCCAAGTTCAGAGCTTTTGTTCTCAAACCTTCACTTCCCAACTCCATTGCATTTTCCCCCAAAATCTGCCATTTCTCCTAACTTTGTTTCTGTACGGCTTCCTGAAATCAGAAGGATATTTTTTTTCCATGTGAACGTGCTTTAAAGCTACATGGTACGTTTTACAAATAAACTGTATCTCGGGGTTTCTTTTCCCCTTTCTTTCCAAGACCCTCTGATGACTCGATAATAATGAGAGACCAAGAGGTCAAACAGCGCCTTAGGATGAACTCTTCATATGCAAGATGCCTTTGTTAAGAAAATTATTTTGAATCCATTGCTCTACATGAGTTCAGGGATCTGTTTTCAACAGGATTATGAACAGAGGCTTTCACATTTCCGTACCGATAGCAGAGCTATTTAAAGATAATATTTATTGATGGGCGCTCTCCTGCGCTCTGCACTGAAACACCAAGTTCTGAAAGGACTAAAAAGAGTTCGCCTATCTGAAAGATTTGGTTACTTGTGACACAAACCAACCCATTTGTGCCTGAAAATCAAGGAACGGCAGCAAACACTTCCCAAGGTTTGTTATGAATAAGGGTATGTTGCTGTTGTTTTAATTCCTACAGGGCTCTGTTTGGAAGCGTATGGTTTAACAGAGTTCAGATGCACAGGGGATTGTCGAGTAGAATTCTTCTAAGTTCTCTTTTTTTTTTTTTTTTCCTCTCTATTGAAAGGCAGTCTTCAATAGCAGGAAAAGATGTTTTGGGACCATCAAAGAGAGTTTTCTAAAACAAACTCAGCCCTTGGAGCTTTATGTTTTGCTGTAGAAAAAGAAACCCAGGCAGAAGCCAAGAGGTTTTTTTTTTCCCCTAAAGACAACTGGTTTTGAGCATGCGGGGACTGACTTTTCCTATCGGTGCAGGAAAAAAAAAAAAAAAAAAAAACAAGAACCAGAATGGTTTTCTTTTCTTAAATGAAATAAAATTTAAGAACTATTTTTACTCGTAAAGCAGATTCAGGAAAAAAAAAAAAAAAAAAAAAAAAAAAAAGACATATAAAAGGAAAAAAAAAAAAAGGTTTGAAAACGTGAAGAAATGTTTTACAAGAGCAAAAGCTTCTGACAGGAGCAGAAGAGAAACTGGAGGAACAATTCCTGAAACAGGGAATCGATTTGTTCATGCGATCCCTTTGCACAAACCCACTTTGCACCCAGACAAGTATTTTTTGCAGGTACGAACGCACGTTTCTGCTCTGTTTGGAAAGCTAAAGAGCAAGCCCACAATTAGGGTTAATCCATTTACAAGCTCTGCTGCCCTACAGCCCTCCCCGGAGCCGAGCACGGCGCTCGCTGCTCCCCGCGCAGCATTTCGGGGGGCTTTTCCCATCCGCCATGCAAATTCGCCACGATTTACTCTCGCTCCTCCTCGAAACCAACGACCCGGCGGTCGCACAAATAAAGAAAGGACAAATAGAAACCTCAGCGCCTGGCCCGGCGGCTGCGCTCGCAGCGTTTGGTGGGCTGGAGGGGGGGGGCGGGAGGTTAAATCCTACAATTAAGCGGCTCAACAGCCCCCGGGTCGGGCTGGTTGGAAGTCGCCAAGATTTTTCCGGAGCGCTCCGGGTCGCCTCTCGAGGGCTCCTCGCAGCCCCGACGCCGGGGTCGGACCCCGCAGCGCGGCCCTACGGCCCCCCCGGGTGCGGAGCGGGGAACGCGGTGGTTCCCTTCCCCCCCTTCCCCCCCCTCCTCCGGCGGAGCCGCTCACGCTGCGAACCGGAGCCGGGTTTCGCCGCCCCGCCGGCCGCTCCCCCCCAAACACGCACACATACACGCACGCACGCACTCCCCTTTTCCGCGGCCGCTCCCCGCAGCACCCACCTGCTTGGTCATGGAGTCGATGAGGCGAACGTAGAAATCCTGTTCCGTCCTGATCCCTGAAAAGAGGCAGAGCAGTGAGGAGCGGCGGGGCCAGCGGCCAAGGAACGGGGTTCGCCCGAGGGCTCGGACCCGACGGAGCTTTCTCGGCCGGAGCTGCCCGCCCCAATCAGGCTGTGCCCGGAGCACCGAGCGCGGGGATGCGCGGAGCGGAGGGGATGGGAGCAGCGGCTCCTCGAGCCCCGGGGGGTTTTCCAGCCGAGGAGCGGCCGGAGGGCAGCCGGTGGTGGTGGCAGTGGGGGGCGGTGGGGCTGACATCGGGGGCTCCCAGCCCTTACCATTGCTGTAGAGCAGCTGCAGGCGGTAGTGGATCCCGTTGTTGGTCTTTTCGCTGTTAGCTTCCTGGATCCAAAGACACGGGGAGGAGGAAAGGAAAGAAAAAAAAATACGTGTAAGGTATGAAGCTTCTCCATCACTCGGCCGGACGAGGCGGCTCGCAATCCCCAGGCAAAAGGGGGAGACCGGAGGGGCCCCCCCATCCCTGGCAAAATGCCCGCAGACGGAGGGGGCTCCCGGGAAGAGCCTGTGCCACGGCTTCGGGGGGAACGGAGCGGGGAGGGCCCCAGAGCGGAGTTCGGGGCACCGCGCTGATACTCACCTTCTCCTTCTCCACGAAGCCCACGAAGGCGGTGCGCTCGATCTCCACGGGCTGCCCCTGCCGGTCATACAGAGCCAGGACGAAGTGGAAAAAGTTGGACTTCCTCAGGTTGGAAGGAGGCTGCTTCTCGAAGTGAGCCCGGGCCAGACCCACTCCGCTGGGACCACAAAGACGCGGGTTAGCGGCAGCCCGGACGGCGCGGCCTCCCCAGGCTCTGTCCCTGTCCCACACTGGGGCCACACGGGACCCCTATGGGCTCCTCGGGCATCGAGCATCCTCTCCCCGAACCGCCCCGCGGCTCTTCCTATTTGGTGGGGGAAAAGGCACTGCCTCTCCCCGCGGAGAGCCGGGACCCGACCCGACCCGACCCCACCGTGCCGCGCAGCACCCCGCAACCTCCCCCCGACCCCGAAGCGGCACCCACCGGCCCTCTCCAAGGGCAGCGCCCTCCCGCAGGCGGCCCTGCATGGCGGGCAGCGCTCAGCCCAGCCGGCGCGCTGCCCCGCGGAGCGCCATGCTCTGCCACTTCTCAAAGTCGGCTCGAAGCTGTCACCGGAGCGCCCCGCGTGCGCCTTATCTTTCAGTTTCAGTCCTGCGAGCCCCTTCCTCCCCTCGGAGGAGCGCCGGGTAAACACCGCGAGGGCAGCCCGGGAGACAACGGGAAATATTTCAGGGTTGTCCCTGCAGAACTTTCCCTTCCTTAGAGAGCTCCGAATGGAGGGGCGGGGGGGGGGTGGGGGGGGGGAGCTAGGGGGGATGAGAGGTGCGGGGAGAGGTGGGAGACAGCGGGAGATGTCAACACGGAACTCGTGAGCTGCTGCCGGCTGCAGGGCTCGGGATACGGAGCCGGCAGCTGATTTTTCTTTCCCCGGGGAAAGAGGATGAGGAGAAGGAGAAATGAGAGAGAAAGCGGAGCCGGGTGCAGCCCCATCATCTCCACCTCCCAGGTGCAGGGATTTCTTTTGGGGAAATCTAAGATAAGCGGCAGTGGTTTTACAGGGAGGCTTCGAATTAAATTTCTCCTCCGGAAACCTCTGCACAGTCCCCGCTTATCGGGGCGGGTGGAGAGGAGCTGCTGATCCTGGCAGGGATAAGGAAGAAAAGTAAAGAAATATATTTTGGAGAATCCGTGCACAACTAGCAGCTTATCGGAGGAGGGAATCGTCGATGGGAGATCTTAAGGCTAAAGCAGCACCAACATAGTTTTGAAAACTCCTTCCTCCGCGCGAACACGAGACTAAACCCAATCTATTCCCACCTAGCAGAGCTCGCCGCTTCCTTTATTGTTCCTATGATGATTTTTTTAATCAAAACTCCTTCCTACGGGACGAGGGGGGAATCAATATTTAACTGGCGACAGCTACGCGAAACTCACTGCTGGCAGCAGAGCTCCGGGGCGGCTTTGGGGCGGTGCGGAGCTGCCTACCTCTGCGCGGCCGTGCTGGCGTCCAGGACGCCCGCTCCCTGCATCCACGTCCGCACCGCGTTCATCCCCGCGCCGAGGGGCTCCTCCTTCATGCTGCTCCCGCTCCGCTGGATGCTTTCCTGGATCCCAAACATGAATCAGAAACAACAGCGCAAAATCTTCCTTCTTTACGCAAAAAAAAAAAAAAAAAAAAAAAAAAAAAAAGTGATGAAATCGCTGTTAAATGTTCTTTTTTGTGTGTGTGCGTGTTTACTTTTTTCTCTCTCTCGCTGGAATCAAAGCAAGGCAGAGAAAGCAAACACAGGCAAGGACATTAAAAAAATAAAAATAAAATAATAATAATTAAAAAAATAAAAATCCAGAGGCGATCGGAGCGCGGCTGGGTGCTGCGCGTGCAGTTTGTTTGGGTGCGCGGAGGGGCTGCGGGCGCCGGGGGCTGCCGGCAACGCTCGCAGAGCCGGAGGAGAACTCGGAGTCCCTTTTGTATGAAGACACCCCTCGGATGGCAGCAGGCAAGAGGAAAAAAAAAAAAAAGAAAAAAAAAATCTCGGATGGCAGTTTAAGAAACAATAGGACGAACGGGAGCTGCGGCGGGCTCCGCTACATCAAGTGTCATTTTCCAGTGACAAGAGAGGCAAGTTTCCCCCCCCCTCTTTTTTCCCCTCTCTCTTTTCTTTCTTTTCTCCCTCTTTCTTTTCTTCTCTCCCAGCCGAAGCGCTCTCTCTCCTCCCTCTTTCAGCCGAGCAGGAAGCGAGTTGCCGGAGCCGGGCGCACGCCGGGAAGGGAGCGGGAAGGACGGACGGACGGACCGAGGGAGACCCCGGGGCTCCCGGTGCCCGCGCCCCCTCCCTCTCCCGCAGCGCCGGGCGGACTCGCCGTCTCTCCCTATGGGAGCCACTTTGACTGTCCCCGCCGCCGAACACGAGCCCCGCAGCCCCGGCGGGCGGGGGGCGGGGCCTCGGAAGGCCCGCCCCCCCCCCTCATTTGCATCGCGTCACCTCTTCCCCCTCCCTCCCTCCGCCGCCCCTCCGCCAATAGCGGCTCGCGCTACGCGGCCGCGGGGGCGAAGCCACGCCCCCTCATTAGCATCCCCCGCCCAGGAGCTCCGGCCGGCCCCGGGGAAAGTTGCCCCGAGCCCCCCGGGCTTCATTGATCCCAACGCGATCGCGCCTTTGTTCATCAAGGCGGCGGCCGCCCGCCGTGTCCCGCCGGGATCACCTCGGCCGCCCGTCGAGGGCCCGAAGCCGAGAGTTCCCCCGGCGGCCGGCTGTGCCCGCTACCCCACAGCCACTTCTTTCCCCACCGGACCCCGGACGGGCGGAGCGGCTCAGCCCGGGACCGCCGCAAACCCCAAACCTCCACCGCATCCCCCCGCGTTCCGCCCCGTTCCGGACAGCGCTGCGGTGCTGCGCGAGAGAAGCGCACCGCTTCCGACCGGGACGGGACAGCGGAGAAACTCCGATGTTGGCTTCAATCCCCCGGGGGAAATAATACCAACAAATAACATTCGCGGTCCCTGTCCTCTTTGGGAAAGCGCTGGGACGGCCGCTCCGTGCCCGCCCCGACCTCCCCCCGCAGCCCCTCCGCTGGCGGACCGCGGCCGGGGCCGCCTCCCGGGGGCTGTTACGGCACCGGGCGGTGCCTGCAGGTGATGTCGCCCCAACCGCAGCCCCTGCGGTGTTGGCACGTGGCATAACCCACACGAGGGGCAGCCCGGCGGGGCTCCCCACCGCCTGCAGGGCAATGCCGGACCGGCAATGGGCCGGGTTGACTCTGAATTAATTGTGGGTTTGCCTGCTGCCCCCATGCCCACTCCGAGCCCTTGCAGCTGGGCTACACCCACTCCCATCCAGAGCACGGCCAAGGGCCTCAGAGTTGACCTAGAGAACAGAGAGTCTGGATACAACTACCCTTGCACAGCTCCATAAGCATCCCCAGGCATTCTGAGAACTCCATAGGAGCCTCTTCCCACCACCTATATACATCACTACATGGGCAGTGACTGTTAAACCTCAGTTACCCAGCCCAGCAGCAGGCACACAGCCCCTGCCAGCACGCTGCTGGCACCAACAGCCACACCTGAGCCTGTGCTGTAGGGAAGTCCACACACAACTCATCCCCATTTCCACTGCGCTGTGTTCTCACACATGAGCTGCTGCAGAAAGCAAGTTTCCGCCTTCCCTGCAGCTGATATTTGAATTTTCATATAATCCTACTGTGTCACATCTCAGGGACACGTGGAAGAACACAGCCATAGAGCCACGCATGAATATTTACGCCATAGGTATTGCATAGGAGCAGTTTGGCCCCTGCAGCGTTTCGGCTTATTGGTCTTCTCCAGGCTGCTGCTGCAGTGGTTGTATCGTATCCAGCCTAAATGCCTCCGTGGTGAGATACATTTTGCAATTAAAAGCTATTTGCACCTGCACTGATTGCTCCTTTCCCAGGGCAGGGAGCTGCCAAGGGAGGAATAATGCGTTTGAATCGATATTCTGAGCAGTTGGCACAAATCTGTTATGGGGATTGGGGGAGCATCTCCATGCCTTTTCCTGGATGCTGAAGGAGGAGCAGCACAGCATGGGCTGAGGGCACCTCTGCTGGGCAGGGACAGCACTGTGACAGCAACAGGGACAACTTCCCCCCACTTTCTTCCTTGGACACACACACTGCACTGGTGATGTGGCAGCAGCTCCAGCCAAGAGCCAGCAGGGTGGGGGCAATGCTGCACTGGGCTTAGGGCAGCCTCAGAGCCACCGACAACACTGCAAGCAGCAAAGGGTTAAAGCCCAGCTCGACCTCCACAGGGGAACGTGAAAGGAAAGCAGAGCTGGAATGGGGGGAGAGTGAGAAATTCAGGAATGGGCAAAAAAATAAAGCGGGGAGGGCTGGTAGCTGGCACTGAGACTGCAGTGCCCCATTCACGCTGCAGGAGCCAACCGCTCCATGCTGGGGCTTTTAAGCAAAGAATTCCCATGCAGTTGGCTCTGACTTTCTGCAGGCCGGGTCTGGTCCATGGCCCGAGCTCACCTGCCCTGCTGCTGGACCTACAGAGCTGCCCTGTGCTGGGACACGGCCGTGGGTGCTCTCAGTGTACGACACACAGCAGAACACACAGCCTACAGCTGCCATCTGCTGCCGCTGGGGACGGGCCTTGCTCCCCAAATGAGCGACAGCCACGCGGGGATTTTATCCTCACAGCACAAACTCATGGGACACACCTTTGCTTCACCAGCAAGGACAGCTTAAAAACAGGGCCAGGGGAGACACGGCTGCAGTACCCACAGTTGTGGGAACAGCAATCAGAGTGACCCCAGCATGGGAAGAGAGCATCCCAACAAGGGACCACAGAGGATGCACAAACATCCTGAGAGGCTGCAGATCCCAATGCCTCCTGCCACAGGAAAGCCTCTCCTCCCCATCAGCACTTCCGCATAGGCCCAACGCCCTGCTCACCCCTGGCCTAGGTGTTTTCTATCCTGTCTCAACAGAACAGCCCTACTTCCCCTCTATAGGTCCCAACACAGGGAACAAGGGGTTGGAAATGGGAATTGCTGAGAGAAAAGCCCCCTGTTCCCTCCTCCACACCCCTCACCAGAGAACAAGGCACCCAAAGGACCCGTATTGCTCTGCCCAAAGAAGGGAGATGGGCAGCGGGGCTGTGCTGATAGGAGAAAGGGAAAACAACTTCTGGCTTTGAGCTGGGACCGAGGGGCACAGAGCACTGGGGGCTGAGCGTTTACCTGTGTTTCATGCTGGTGTGGAGAAAAGGGCTTGGGAGCATTTCACACATCACATCCTCCCCAGTAAAGATGCTTTGCACACGGTATTTTCTTACATCCACACTCCTGTGTTGATCCAAAGACTTCCCAGCCACAGACGAACCCGACGTCCTCTGGCAGGTGAGAGGGCTCAGCCACCGGAGGCATTTCATTCCTCCTACCCGACTCGTTCCTGCAGAGAATGAAAGACAAGGGCTCATCCATGGGACCGCGGAGCAGCGCAAGGCTTCTTGAAAGGTGCAGGGGGAAAGTGGGACCAGACAGAAGGGTGACAAGAGCCTGCTTTTCCACAGCTGCTGTGAAGAAGCATCAGCAGGAGACCTGGATAGGAGAACTGCATGCAGAAACTTCCTCCTGCTGCACCCCTGCCCTGGGGACGGCCCTTAGCTGGGACAGACGTATCCCCGCCGTGCCGGTAAACCCTTGCGGAGGCACACAGGGCGCATCGCCAGAGCTCAGCCCTCCGATCCCTCGGCAGCTCACTGGGAAAGCACGGCGGGAGAGCCGGACTCCCACGGCCACCCGCGGCCCTCGGCGCTGCGCGGGGCGGGGCGGGCGCGGTGCGGGTCGGGGCCGCAGCGCCGCGTGGTTACAGCGCCACCTGGCGGCCACGCCGGGTACCGCCAGCCCCGGTCCCGCGGGGTGAGCGCGGCCCTACGGGTGAGGGAGCGCAGCTATAGGAGACGCTTGTCAGGTCGGCCGCATTAATTATTTCTGGGACTTGACCGCTCAGGGTTTGGCTGCTCTTGCTGACCATTTCTTTTTCTCTGGAAAGAACTCCGGAAGGCCCCCATGACTTCAGCAGAAGCAGAACGAAGCTCATCACTGGGGCTCAGATGTGGCTGGAGCTGGGTGTAGACCCACAGCCAACGGGACTTTGCCAAAACACAGCATAGCAGCACTTTGGTTAGAAAGGAGTTTAATACACAAAGAAGAACTCACTTTTTTACATACCCTCCTGAGCTTTAGACAGCCTGCAGTTCAAGTTCAGGCTCAGCCTTGTTCGGAATGAGGGATCCCTCTGGCTTTATCTCTGTGCAGTGAATGCATCCCGCCACACCTCCTGTGTTACTTCTCAGGATCTCTTCTCCAAAACATTCAGCATGTGAGCAAAAGCAGTTACAGTTCTGGGACAGCAACAATCAGAGTGACCCCAGCATGGGGAGAGAGCATCATTTCTACTGGGAACACCGTGTAGGCCACAGTCCTTCTAACTAACATGGGGTATCTCATCAGAGGGAAAGTGGACTGAAACACTGAAACACCCTCCTGAATAGGAAATTCTGGGAAAGCACCCTTCACTACTTGTGCGCCTGCACAGGGGCATCACAGTCCCCATCCAAGCACAGCTCCCTGTGCCTTCCCTAGAAGGGCAGCCAGTCCGAGCAGCATCTGCATATCTGTTACATGCACACACACACACACACACACACACACACCCATTGCAGATGACACACAAATGCTGCTCATGCTTCCCAAGCAGACGATCACAGCAAGGCTCACACCCCACTCATCTCACTGCAGGGCTCAGGATGCAGCAGCCACCTCCCAAAACGTGCTGCAAACCTGGAGGAACAACTTCCTGCAGTGCTGACACAGAGCCATTGTCAGAGTGTGATGGAGGAACTGCGAAACAGACGCAGCAACAACACCAGGGTTGGATTCAGGCCAGGGCACTTCAGGCGACTTGTAAAAAGTTCACAGCTCCTTTAATGGCTCCACCTGGCTCCAACAGGACCTCTGCTCTGTGGAGGAGATGCTGTGAGGGAAGCGTGTCTGAGGTGATATGAATCAGGCCGGTCCCTCTCACATCACATCGGCCTGGAATAGCTGTTGACCTGATGGAGTGTTAATGGGAACATTTATTTGTTTCTTTATCACTACAAAGATGTCATATATACTTACCCTGCTGCTGCCACCGTTCCCAAAGGGCTGTCAGCACAAGAGCCATTATAACACAACTGCCGGAGGTAATATTTTTTTTTTCCCCCCACACATTATTTCTTCAAATGATTCTATAAAGAGAGAAAGAACCAGGATATAAAAATTGCTGGTGAAAGAACAGAGCAGTAATGGGAGGCAAAGCAGCCTGCCTGCCTGCAGGGAGCACCATCACAGCACAGGCCTGGCACAGGATGGTCCCACAGTGCTACACAAGGATGTTGTTGGGTCCTAGGGCTCAGAGAGGCTCTTCCCCACCCGTGTTGTGAGCAGGTTGGGTTCATACAGCTCTGCCCTATGTGGGGAGATGGGTGCAGGCAGTGCTGCTCTTCCTATTTCTGGATTATATGAAAGCACAAACCCCTTCAAAACACTTTGGTAACACAGTCATTAGTAAACAGTAATCAGACAGAACCTGCTTTTACCTGTGGCACGAATCCCCACGGCGTTTCGTTTGCGCTACGCGCTGGCTTGACGATTCAGGGAAATTGCTAATGGGGCCTTTTATTGCTGGGTCACCAGTTCAAATCTGGCTCTGTCAGTATTGACCAGGAGTATCTGATGAATGTTTGATGACATGAGATGAAAATACGGGTTTTCATCCATTTATCAGTAGAAAAGCCCTTCAACAACTCCAGCCATCAAAGATGCGGCAGTGCAGAGCGAGTGCCCCTCTGCACGGGAGGGCAGCTGGGAGAGCTGCACAGTCCCGGTGTCTGGCAGAGCCTTCCTGGGGATGAACCAACCTGCCCTGCACCTCACTGAGCACTGCAGCCACAGCACAGCGTGGGGAGCCAAGCCCTGCATTGTTCTCAAAGGGAAAACGACCCTGGTGTGCTGGGGAAAAAGCAAACGTAAGGAAATCCAGGATGCAGGGCTGGTTGTTTTCAGTGCCAAATGGAGGCATTCATGATTTTGCAAGCTGGAAAGCTGTTCGAATTTCTCAATATTATGACGCTAAGCAAGCTGAAACTCAAATTTCAAAGTAACGGGTCAGAAGTTGGTAACAGTCCTTTCTTATTTTCTTGAGTCAAACAGCGGCTCAACAGAAACATAAGTTAGTGCCTAATTCAGCACCTTCAGTCCTCACCCCTGAGAAAGCACAAAGCACTGGATGTGCAGCACTGTTGGAGCTGGGGTGGGGATGGCCATCAGTGGGTCTGCAGGGCCACCCCACAGCACTGCCTGGCCCCTCCATCACCTCATCTTTGGGGCTGACCCAGTCAGCAGGGGCAGAACACAGAGGGCAGGGGCAGCTGGAGGTGCCAGCATTGCCCCAGGGGTCCATGCCGCACGCCCCCAAAATAAAGCGATGGGAAAACTCACATCCCACATAAACTCAGCTAGCGGAGCTGCTCAGCCCTGCTGAGGGAAATGGAAGCAGCGCGAGAGCCATCTGCTGGGAGCGGCTGACTTCACCGCGGTGTAAATCCAACCGTGGGGATGCTGAGAAACTGGGGAAGGCCGGGGGGTGCCGTGCCACTATCACTTACCTGGGTGTCACATTGAAAATCAAAGCATCCCTTTGGGGAACGACCCCTCTGATGAGTGCATTACCACGAACAGAGCACCTCTGCACTGCGCTGCTGGGCGAGAGACAGAGGGGCAACGGGAAATGGTTCCAAGCTAAAAGAGGGGAGAGGCAGAATGGACATAAGGCAGAAGTTCTTTACAACACGTGTAGGGAGGCAGTGGCACAGGTTGCCCAGAGAGATGACGGTGTCCCATCCCTGCAGACCAAAGGTCAGCCTGGAGGGGCCCTGAGCACTGATGGAGCCATGGGTGTCCCTGTTCAGTGCAGAGGGTTGGACCAGATGGTCTTTAAGGTCCCTTCCGACACAAATTGTTCTATGATTCAGTGATTTGTTAAGGCTGCACAGATGACCATTTCCATACCAGTTACAAAATAATTACCCATAGTAACTTAATAATGAGCTTTTCCCTTTAAATTTTTAACACAGGTAGCCAAGAAAATTGTCAGTTTTAACAGCTGTAAATTCAAGTGATAAATGCCAAAGCTGAGCTAAAAGACACCAGCAAATTAGCAATTAAAGTATTTATGCAAGAAAGCAAAAGGTACTGTATGCAGATACTGTATGCAAGGAG